GGTTTTTGATGGGAATAAGACTGCTTATCATTGTAGAAGGAGTTAAAGCAAATAGAAAATGCAGCCCCAAACTCCACAGGCCACTACTTGATGCAATTTATAAATTTATGAACTTTCATGACAGATTTGAATATTTTAGGTAACTACCTAATCAGGCATGTTTTATGTGTGTGTGTGTGCTTTGTTTGCTTTTTAAACTCTGCTTTGCTTTGGATATGGTGTGTTTGTCCCACCAAATCTCATGTTGAAATCTGATCCCCAGTGTGGGGGCTGGGAGGTGGGATCTGGTGGGAGGTATTTGGGTCTTGGGTGGAGCCCTCATGAATGGCTTGGTGTCCTTCTCCAGGAAATGAGTTCTCTCTCTCTCTCTCTGGAGACTGGATTAGTTCTTGGGGGAATGGACTAGTTCCCAGGACTGGGTTGTTATAAAGCTGGGATGCCCCTTGGGTTTGGCCCCTCTTCTTTGCTCGTGCCTGCTTCCCCTTTGACTTTCTCCACCGTGTTTTGATGCAGCACAAAAGCCCTCACCAGAAGTCGAGCACATGCCCTTGCCATTTCTTGTATAACCTGCAGAGCAGGAGCTAAATAAACCTCTTTTCTTTACGAACTACCCAGCCTCAGGTATTCCGGTATAGCAACACAGAACAGACAGAGACAAACACTTACTGAGTAAAGTTGGAAAATCAAGCTGAGTCATTTAATCACTCTAAAAAGCTCCTAATCACTCTTCTACTTGGGAATTTTTTATCTGAAAGGTTCAAGTATTTTATGTATGGTATACACTTTCTAAAAAAATGATTTGGACAAACTCCAACACTATTTCACTCTGTCATTCAGTGTACTAAATCAGCATCTGGGAAATCCTTGCCCTGAATTAGCTGTAACTTTAGCGTCTGCTAACTTTCTGATCAGCACCCTTTTCATTTTTAGGCTTACATCCCAGTCTCTTACTTTTTGAGATTTAAATTTATGGTTTGACAATGAGTTAAGTTGTATTTTCCAGGATGTAGACATTGTACTTGTAGCATCACTAATAAATTAATACATGCCTCTACTTGAAATGGATTAGGAAAAAAATAAATATAAAACCACAAATGGAAGCCTAGAGTAAGGAAGTATATTGAACTTGGGTTGTGTAAGGCTTTCACATGCCTCTGGATTGTCTTATTTATTCATTCTGAGTACAGAGCAAAACAGTAGCAGGGAGTAGTATGTAACAACTCTAATAATGAGTATCAAAAGGTTTGTGAATGTAACAGAAGCTCCTCCACTGGGTAGTGAATTTTTGGAAGGGAAAGATCTTGCCTTACTAACTCCTCAGTACTTCTTAACACAGGGTAGCACACAGTAGGGATGCATAAATGTTTATTGGACTTGAATTTGATTAAGAGATGGCTAGGAATACTTGCTTTCTTTGTGTATGATCTAAAAACGTGGGGTAATTGGTTCTTATGTAGGTTATAATCTATCCTATCTATCTTCCCTTCTAATATATTTCATTGGGGAAAAGACACAATAACTAAAGTCTTTAATGAGCAAGTTGTTCATAAAATTAGTCCAGTTTACTTCTTGTGTAGCTTTTGTCTCTCTCCCATGTATCTTTTCCTAATATGGTAAATAACACATTTCAGAGAGCACTTTCTTGACTTGGTTTTACTATTAGTTAATTCTTCTAACATGTCCCGTTTTCACTATCAGAAGTTGCACATTTCTTATTGGGAGCTGTGGTTTATTGAGGACGGGGAGTTCCTTTAGGGCTAGTAATACTTTGGAATCCCCAGGGATGGTCCATGACAGAAGAGATTAGAATTCTGAAGTGACACCCTTCAAACCACAAGTAGCTAGTATATCATCTGAGTCATAGTCATCACCCAGGTCAATTTGAACATAAAAGGGGGGAGGGGGAAGAAATCCTCGTAAAAGTACAGTGTACCCAGTAGAAAATTATTCAGTCATACTTTAGAATTTTGAGATCCCACCCATTGAAATATTTTTATACTTAAAATTCCAAAGAGGCTATCATATCAATTACCTCCTATTACAAACTTTCCTACATTATATGACGTATTTTTATTTTTATATAGTTTGTTGAACACATATTCTTTAGGTTGGTTCCTAATATCTTCCTTGGTGGTTTTTCTTTTCCCTGACGAGGGTTTCCTAACATCCCAAGCTTCACATTAATTAAGGTACTTTTTATAATTGTCTACACTTGCAATGTAATATGAAGAATTGAGTTTATCTGAAAAACGTAAGCCATCAAATCATTTGTTAGAGGCCATCTGTGTGAGAGACCTGAGTGGACTTACAGATCACAGCCATGCACCTTAATCACTGAAGGGATTCTAGAACAGGAACTCATGGTAGAGAGCAATAAAAACCAAGGGGTAATCAAATAAAATCATTTTTCCATTCACAAATAATTTAATAATTAGCATTTACAAGAATAGCTAAGTAATTCTGGATATTGGCTGGGGAGAATCTTCTCTATGTTCTGCACTATGGCTCCATCTTGGCCGGCACGTTGCCTAATCACGATAGTATCACTCAATTTTGCTGCTGCCACCACCACCTGCTCCAAACTTAGCTTTCATTTTGTGTATTATCTTTTGTTCTCACAAGCAAAAGTCCTTCTCATGTAAGAAATATAGTGTAATAATTAAAATTCAGGTTGGTGAGCCCTTGGTTTATATGCCAACTCTACAGCTTTTTTTTTTTTTTTTTTTTTTTTTTTTTTTATCATAAGACCTACTTGGTAACTACAGCTTTTTAGCAGTAGAATTTGGGGCAAGTTACTTAATAGACTCCTTCCTCTCCCCCTCCTCACAAAGCCATCCTCATCTCTAAAATGCAGGTGATAAGACTGACCTCCCAGAGTTGTAAAGATTAGGTGGAAAAACACAATGCTAAGTTCCCAGAATAATGTTGGCTCCTAGCAAATGAAAAATGGCATTGTCTTCCTGCAGAAAGACAGTGTGGCCAACCAGGGAAAGCAGGGGAGGGGCTCCTAAGACTCAAATTCAAGTCCTGGCTCCAGTGCTTACTAGCTGGCCTCTGTGGGAATTCTAACTTTCTCTCTTAGCCTCAGTTTCTTCATTTGCAAAATGGGCAGAATATTCCTTACTCTATCTCTCTGAGTAGCTTAAAGGAAATAATTTTGTGAACTACTTTATAAAAACCATGAGATATTAAAATGTTTTTCATATGATTACAAAGTTTGTGGGAATTAACTTTTTTTCCTGTGGGGAACAGTATTTTTTCAACAGGGGCTCAATGGTTCCCTTTTGATTTTTTTTGGGGGGGGCGGGTTGTGGCATTCTTCTTATTTTTTATTTTTTCTAAATGACTCATTTGGCACTTGATATGTACTATCTTGTAGGTTTTCCTTTTTTTTTTTTTTTTTTTTGTCACTTCAACTCTATTCTAATCTCTTCAAGAGTAAGGACCCAATTTTAAACCTTGTGGGCTTGGACAGAAGGAGCGGAAGGGAAAATCTTCCCTGGGGCACCAGACTGAGGGTGGGAAGGGCCAGGCCATGGAGTAGATCAGAGACAGTCTTCTGAGAGAAGAGGAAAGAAAAACAAGAACCTTGATGACATGGAGAAATTCTGAGACACAGAGGAACATTGAGGGGTTCCCATAGACTTGCCCTGATCTTAGTGAGGAAGAAGGATGATAAGATGAGGGAAAGAGAGTGAGAGGGAGTTGGAATCTTGGAAAGGTACAGATCAAAGTCGTGTTAACTCAAAAGCATACCACACTTCTTTCTCTCTGTATGATGAGTAAAGACCGTATCTTCCTAATTTTTGAAAATCCCAGTGCCTATCATGATAACCGGCATATCGTTGACATTAAAAAATGTTTCTTGACTCTGGGATGAGTAGAAAATAATGTTATTTTATTTTATTATCTGTTATGTAATAATATATAAACACATATATAATATAATAACAATATTTATTAGGCACTTAGGTCATATGTTTAGAACTTTGTCTATTATTTCATTTAATAACTAGAACAGCGTTATTAAGTAGATGCTATGATTATCCCCATATTAGCGACGAGAAAGCTGAAACTTTGGAAGGAAGTTCTGAAACTCTGTTGTGGGGCATAGGGTATCGAATTAAGTAAGGAAAAATCAAATAATTATAGGAGAATTGAGGGTCCAACTGAGGGTGGACCACATGAGTTTGAGCTGAGACTCTCAGCACAATTACATGTTTACCTCAGCAATGCTCTGCCACTTGGAGCAGTTGATTGGATTTACCTACACCTAGCATACAGGGGTTACGTAAACATGATCCTCTTTGCGCTCCACGTGTTGGACTTAATGGCTATGAGTCAGGTAATAAAGGGGACAGGCTTTTGAATAGAGATAGGAACAGCTGCGATGTGTTCTTCAGTCTCGTGGAGACGAGTAATTGTCATTGGCCCTTGAGTATTTGAAATACTTCCCCCCACCCTCCCTAGCTAATCTACTTGGCCTGTGGCCTACGTGATCTTAACTTCTTCATTCAGGAAATACTGGTTATGAGGACCTGGGAGGGGCCACCTGGAGGCTGGTGAACCTAACAACCTATGCAGCCTGCATTTGCACAGCTGAGTTATTATCTCACTAATGGGTGTAGGGGGCAGAAAGGAGAGAAGAATCCTCCCCAGCACACAGCTGGGCCAGCTGGATGGAGGTGCTTCAGGTGTTCATCAAAGACTGATCACATCATCGACCTCTCATATGACCAGGGCAGGGCAGGTATACTAGCTGTGAAAGCCAAGTCTGCTCTGGGGAAGGCAGGAGGGTTTGTACAATCTTCCCAAGTATAGGGGAAGGGGACAGGTAGGTAGGAGTTAAATTGTTGAGTAGGAAGCAATAGATACCTTTTATTCTAATTACCTTAGGAAAGAATCTGGTATTATATCAATCTAGCACATAGAGTTTTTGCCTTCAATCTGTAAAAACAGCTTGTGAAAATTGTGCTATTCTGATTTATTTTGGGATCTAGAAAATGGAGCATTCTCAAAAGAAAGCAGACCGGATGGTGACAAGATTCAAAACAGTGTCACTCTAGAGACAGGTAAAAGGGGTGGCCTTGTTTGCCTGGGGGGGGGGTTGCGAGGGAAAGTCTCTGACACAGGTGCTGGCTCTCAGCCAGGCTGTACATTGTACTCGCCTACCTGGGCCCACCCGAAGAGACACTGAATTGGTCCGATGCAACTTGAACAGCGGGATTTTTGGAAAGTGCCTTGGTTGATTCTAATGCACAATCAAGTTGAGAACCACTGTTTAGAGCAGGGTGCCTGACTTATGAAATAAAAAGAAGCTTCCTGTGGGAAAGGGTCTTGTCTTTGGCACCAGGAAGGGAACTAGTACTAGCGGCGGGAAGGCAATAATGGGAGCTCAAAGGAGACAAAGTTTTGAAGCTTTGTACTGAAATGGAGGTGGCTTAGTGGGTAGAGAAGCCTCTGATACTGGCAGTGGTCAGGAAAGGTGGAGAACCATTGACTAGAAGGTCGAACTAGACCAGCGATGGCCAGATAGTGCCAGGAGGACCACGGCTTCCTGAAGCCCCTTCCTCTTCACTCAGAGCAGCTCTGCTTTCTATTTCTATATTGGGTTTTCCCACAGCACTTCCTTTGAAGAAAGAGTCTGCTCAAAAAAACTTTTAAAACCACTTAACGAGTTGACCTTTATGGCTGTTACTAACTCTAAAGTTCTAAAGCATTAAATCTTCTTTGATGTTTTCTAAGAAATCAGCTACTGATTGATCCATTCTTCCAAAGGCTGAGGGGAAAGAGAGGAGAGCAGGAGAGGCATGGAAACCTGAGCAGAAGAGGGGGGACTTCTCCTAGCTCAGGGCCAGGGCGGGAGCCCTCAACCCTGTCTGGATTTGGAATCACTTGGGAGCTTTACAATAACTAACCCCTAAACCAATGAAATCGGCCTCTGGGGATGGTGCCGGCATAGGTGCTCATAAAATACAGCAGAGTTAGAGCCTTTGGCTTACTGGATGGGCAGTAAGAAGGACTCTTTTGTATACATTGAGGCCAAACATGTTAGACAACCACCAACACAGTGGTTCATAAACGTCAGGTGTGTCAGAATCACCTGGAAGACTTGTCCAAACACAGATTGCTGAGCCCCACCCCTACAGTTTCTGATTTAGTAGGTCTGTGATAGGACCAATCATTTTCATTTTTAATAAGTTCCAGGCGATCCTGATACTACTGCTCTGGGGACCACACTTTGAGAGCCACTGCTTTGACAAAACGGATTAATTTTCAACATTAAAAAGAACTTCGTAACACTCACTGGTAAGTAATTGATAGTGTGCACCCTTGATGTGATAGGGTGAGAAAGGCCCTTTATCACTGTGGTCTTCCTCCCCCAAATGCATAGCCCAGTCTAACCATGAGAAAAACATCAGGCAAATCCCAACTGAAGGACACTCTACAACATACCTGACCAGTACCCAGCAACTCCTCAAAACTTTCAAGGTCATCCAAACCAAGGAAAGTCTAAGAAACTGTCACAACCAAGAGAAGCCTAAGGAGAGATGACTGCTTAATGTAGTGTGGTGTCCTGGATGGGATCTTGGGATAGAAAAAAACAGGGAAAAACTGAGGCAATACTGTATCAATATTAGTTCACTGGTTGTGACAAAGGGACCACACTCTTGTAATATGTCAGTAATAGGGGAAATTGGGTGTGGGACAGGGAACTCTCTGTACCATTACTGTGCTAAGTACAATAATTCTGTAAATCTGAAACTCTTCTAAGACAAACAGTTTATGTGAAAACAGGACTTCCTGCCTGCTAAAATACAAACTATTCTTGATGGCAGTAATAGAGGAGGTATCTTTGAATAGCATCAAGGAAAAAAAGAAATCAAATAATTATATTTCTAGTTTGAATGAATCCTTGCCTGGCTGGAGGAGGATAAATTATATAACATAATTTTGACTCTTTTATTCATGTGATTATGTGACTTATGTGATTTTGTAACTTTGAAATAATTTTTAAGGGCTGTAACTTAAAAATATATATATAAGTATACATATATAAGTATATATATATGTGTATATATATATATATTATATATATATCAGCATACTTACAGCTGACATTAATGACAAGGTAGCTGCTCCTCTCAATTTATTATGATGCAGCCATGCAGTGGGAATATAATCCTAGTAAAGAAAGGTACCAGCTGGGCATGGTGGCCCACATCTGTATTCCTAGCACTCGGGGAGGCCAAGGGGGGAGGATTGCTTAAGGTCAGGAGTTCAAGACCAGCCTGAGCAAGAGCGATACTCTATCTCTACAAAAAATAGAAAAATTAGTGCACCTGTAGTCCCAACTACTTGGGAGGTTGAGTCAGGAGGGTCCCTTGAGCCCAGGAGTTTGAGGTTGCAGTGAGCTGTGATGATGCCACACTACACTCTAGCCGGGGCAACAGAGTGAGACTCTGTCTTGACAAAAGAGAGAGAGAGAGAGAGAGAGAGAGAATGAGAGAGAGAGAAAGGTATCTGTTGTAATGACTTAATATTCCCAGTAAAAACTTTTAACCTTTTGATTAGACCTATCTGGAAACCATCACAAAGGTGGTCATTCATTCCCTCTCTGTCTTTTTTTCCCTTTCTTCTTTTTTTACAGTTCCAGGAGAATCTGCTTAAGGTGATCTAAATGAAAGAGTCAGAGTCCTTTGCCAAGCCAATATTTAGCTGCTGGTTTGTATTTATGGATGACCTTATTTCACTGGCCTCAAGAGTACACATTATAAAATTCCCCATGTATCCATTTAAGTTTTTTCTTTTGTAATTGAGATTTTATTGGCTGTGTTGGGGATCAGTACACAGACATTTCAATTTGTACACAGTTATTAGCATATATACCAAAAATCTAAAAGCCATATATTGTAATTCTTTTTTAAGTAGTTATTCCAGTGACTTTTCCAGCTTAAAATTTGGAGGTAAATTTTCTTTGAAAGGGTATCAAGTTCCAGTATCTTCAACTGTTAATAAACTGTTACATAAGTCCCACCAATTCAAAATTTATTAGCATATATACATTTTCAATCCTTCACATTAATAAAGTTATTAGGAGAACAGGGCTGCCATGACCAAAGATGTCACAGAGTGTGCACAATTCTGGCAGGGAGAGCCATGACCCAGGAGTGGTTTTCTTTAAGAAACAATTCTACTAAAAAACAACATGAAAATAGAAATAATTTTAAATGTTCAAGACATTAAATGCAGGACCATGGCTATATTGCCAGACCATGACTATATTGCCATGTAGTGTGTTTTATACTATAGGATATAAAGACCAACCCCTGTCTATGAAATGTTAAGCTGACACCCATGACAGTCAAAGCCTTCCATAATTCAAAATGCCACACTCTCTCTGGTTGTACAAAAATAAAACCAACCAGCAAATGATTTCACTTCTTTAAAAAGTGCATTTACAGTGAAAAAAATAGAGTGAGGTGGGATTCCTCCTTCTTAAAAATGGGAGCTACTACAAAACTTTCACTGGCAAAATACTTGATAAAAATATTCCTTTGGATTGTACAAGAAGGCACACGTGAGCCACTGATAAGACATGGTAAACAGCATTCGTCAGACGCGGCCTCTTTCTCTCCTGGTTCATCAAAGGCTGGCTCACCTCAGTTTTAGTCCCTTCATTTTCTGCAGGTAAATCTTTGGTTTCTTGGTTAGCCACTTTGGCCTGTTTTCCCTTTCTCTGCTCCCCCTTTTTTCCCTTTTGTTTGCACTCTTTCTGTCTGCAGATTTATCCTCTCCGGCTGCCATTTTTGGCTTCATTTCCACTTTTGCAGGAGCAGGTTTAGCTGACAACTGCACCAATCTCCGTTTGGGCTCTTCTCTCACCGCCCCGTTGGGAGGGAGAGCACACGCTGGTGTCTGCACAGCGCCCCAAGAGCCTTGGAGAAGCTGGGCTACTTGGCGGCTGCCGCTCTTCCCTCAGCCTGAGCTCCCGCTGAAGGGTTATTGTGTCCCGGGAGCACTGTGTGCTCACAGCAAGCCGGCGGGGATGGAAGTGAGAAGTGAGAACTCTCTGGACACGCATGTGCACCATTCAGACAGCATTCACGCCATTTCCCTGACTCGGCTCTAGGTCCCCTCAGCCTTTTGGGTGTTGGGTGCTTATGGTCCCTGCTATGGTGCCCAGCATGGTTCAAGATCACAGCAGGCACCTCTGGCAAGGTAGATAGTGACTCAAGGGCAAACTAAACACCCATGGACAGTGGATTACAGTATATTGTAGTAGATTGGTTTGGACCATTTATCTTTTTTTTTTTTGAAGTGACTTACCTGTACATATGTGGGAGATAAGTGAGGAAGTTAGATGCACTCCTAGGGCTTGGCACTGGTCTACGTGACAGCTGTAAGGGAGGAGCTTAGATGCCAGATCCATCTCAATCCAGGCAGGCCCTTGCAGGGGATCAGACTGCAAGGTCAAATGTGAAACTCAAAATCTTAAGAAAAAGACTCTCATCATCTGCACCTTTCTCTTCCTAAATTGAGCAGCAATTCTGGAAACGGAGTGCTTAGACCTTAAATAGCATCCCTGGGGTACCAGGCATTGTTCTAATGATCTCATTTCACCCTCACAGAGGCCCTGGGAAGGTAAATAACTTGCCAAAGCTTAAGCAGTTTGGAGTAGAGTTAGGATTCCAATCTGGGTTGTCTGGCTCCAGAGCCCATGTTCTAAGCCAGTGGGCTCTCCTGTCTCTCTTGGAGAGGACCCAATCTTGGCTAGCTGGCTAGTCCCAGAGACCTCCATGACTGTCAAAGGTCTAGAACTAGAATGTCCCATCATTTATCCATATTTCTATTTCTCCTGCTTTCTACATGACTACCCCATCACCACCAGCAACTGGTAAATATGGGTTGAACTTTTGTTCTATGCCAGGCATTACAGATGCAAAGATAAAAAAGAGACCGTAATCCTGCCTTCAGGAACTATAGGGAAGATAGACATCGAGGCAAATCCGTCTACAAAATCCCAAATGGGTTGTAGCCAAAGGGGCCAAAAGAAAAAGCTGTTGTGGCCAGATGGGCAGGGACCCACCTTGCCTTAGGGACAAGGACTCCTGTCCATTCTTATTTAGTTTTCTCCTGATTACTTCCCTGATTTCTCTTACTGACAACTGACACATCTCAATGGCAGAGATTTGAAGTGCTCTCGACAAGGTGCTGAGATGTTCAGAAGGCAAGTTTTCTGTATCCAACAAACAATTTATAGAAGAATAGAGGCTTTAATCTCTAACCCAGCAGATGCTATGTCTACTTCTTTCCCCCAAGAAAGAGGACATTTATATTTACTTTGTTCCTTCTTCCAAGGCAGGAATTTTGTGTTCCAGAAGCAAGATCTTTTGGCAGCCTTGCCCTTTTTGTATCCTAGTCTACTGCAATAACAAACAACAGTTGCTGAGGCGTTGTTGTTGACGTATTACCTTTGAAAACTCCCTCGTGTCATAGGGCAAGCCTCTTCCACATGACAGATCATTATCTTCTGGTCCTACAGGCAGCCTTGTTGCCATGGAGACCCAAAGGGATCAGGTATGTTGTTAGCCTGCATCACTCCGGCTGGTCCGGGGTACGACAAGGGCTTTCTGTGCGTCACATGTGGCTGTCCTGTGGCAGGCTATGGCCAGACTTTTCCTGCGGGTAAAACCTAATCAAATGATCAGCTGCAGATAATATCAAGACCTCTGTTTGACACGTTAATAGTGACAGACATACTTCCACAATTAATATGGTGGGAAAAAAACACTCGAGTCACCAGACTTGGGATGAGAGGTCTCGTATTCACATAAACACAACCTGACGTCACTGCTTGTCACCGCAAACTGTTTTGTTCTCCAAGAATGCCTTTGTGCTCACCCTCTGATCTTGCTTCTCTACATAACAACTTTCTTGTTTATATGCCCTTTGGCAAGTGCAGCAAGCACTATTTCCTGTTTCTAAACTTGTAGACAACAATCCATACATCTCATAGTTGTCAATTTTAACCAGATAACAGCAGAACTTTGATGCTGCTTTTTAATCTTTAGCTTAGGTTAACAAGACCCTGGAAGAAACGTTGATTTATTTGATAGAGCATTTTTAATTAATTTGGCTAATTCCATGTGATTCAAAATCTAAAAAAACAAGTAAGTAGAAAATGCATGCCACATTCCTAAAACATTTTAATAGTTCTAACAGTCTTGTACACTCTTGCGATGAAGTTGATTACTGCATTAACTGAATATTATTTGTGTAGTACTACTATGTGCTAGATATTGAACTAAGCTTATTCTCGTAAAATTTTAACATTCTAAAACTATCAAAATCTGTAATATTTATAAAAGTAAAATATCCTAATCCAACAATTTGGAAAATACATTAAAATAGAAAGAAGTAGGGGAGAACTCCTCTGTAATATCATTCAGAGATAACCACAATTAATAGTGTGGAGTATATTTTTCTTCTTCTTTTTTATTATACCTGTGTGTGTGTATAAGTTTAAGCAAAGCTAACAATATGCTATTCATGCTTGTTTCTTTTGCTTAATTTTATGTTATAAGCACTTTCCTATGTCGTTACAAACTCTTCATAAATAATCTTATTAAGGATTATATAATATTTATCTTATCGGTAACAAATTCCATCTTTTATTCCCTGAACATGCTATATAGATTATAGCTTTATTTTTTTTTAAGTCAAAACTCTTTATTTTCTTAAAATAATAAAAAAAGACAACTTCACTATGTTTCCTGCTAAGTCCTAATTTTCCAAATATGTGCTTGAGTTTTCTTCCATGCCACTTGGAAACACAATGACACACTTAATTTAGGTCCATTTCCACCCTTCCAGGTCTTGGCATATGCTGTTCCCTTTTCTCAGAACACTCCTTTCTTCTGCCATCCCCAGCCTCTGATTAAATTCACACATTCTTCACATTTTAGTTTAAATGTCACTTCCTCTGGTTAGGTCCCCTCTGCTATAAGCTCCTATAGCACAAGTCATAATTACTCGATTAAATGTTTATCTCCTCCTAGACTGTAAGTTCTGCAAGGGTAAAGATGATGTCTGTCTTTGGCTTCTGTTCTAGCTCAGTGTGTGTGACACATACTGGTTGCTCAAAAAAAAAATATTGAAATGAGTAGTGGACATTTAATGTGTTTCTATTTTCTTTTTATAAGCAATGATGAAAGAAGCATCTTTTACGCATGATTATTTGTTCGTATTTTGGAATTTTTAAATTACTTTCTGACAATAAGTTCTTGGAAGTAGAATTACTAGGTTAGAGAATATAAACACTTAGAGGCCTCTTGAGAAACAACAGATTGCTTTCCAGAAATTTTCACACCCCTACCAGCAGTGTATGAGATTTCTTATTTCATTGTGCTCTTATCAACACTATTAGAAAAAGAAATTATTTTCCAACTTGGTAGTAAAAAAAGTTCCCTACTGCTGTTTCAATTTTGCCTTCATTGAGTACTGAGGTAGACATTTTGTAATCCATTTGTTATTCATTTATATTTACTGTGAGTTGTCATGTGTCCTTTGCCCATTTTTATTCTGAAATTTTCATATTTTTCTAATTCATTTTTATAAGCTCTGCATGTTTTAAAGATATTAGATGATTATTTATTTGTGTAGATTTTTCCTTCTATTTAGATGTTTGTGTTTTATGCTTATGAACTTAGTAATGTTCAAAAGTTTAACATTTTTACATGGTCAGATCTGTCATCATTTCCCTTTGGATTTCTTATATAACTTTTACTCCACCAGTGATTAAATAAATATTCAGCTTTTTTTTTCTGGCATTATACAATTTGATTACTTTGCCTGTGTGTGTATGTACTTGGTGTGTGCATTTCTATGCATATATACTTTGTTCTTATCTACAGGTAATTTCATTTGGCATCTGACCGGAGGGGAGAATCTTCTTTTGACAAAAGTACTGACCAGTTGTCTCAACATGATGTGTAGAATCTTTGCTTTCCCAATGATTTAAGGTTCATCTTTTCACTAATTTTAAAAATCAGTATTATCGCAGCTTAGGGATGTTTTCCCAGAGTGGGGCTGGTCCTTTTTCAGCATTGAGGTTTTAGGGAGAACCTTTGAGAAGGCAGGGTAGCTTCTCCCCACTCATCTCCCTGGCTCAGCCCCTGGGCGCCTCCATTCGGCAGCAACTAAGCTTCACTGAGGCTGAACTCCAGGGCGTTTAGAAAACTTGAGATCTGAAACTGGTAAAGGCACAATGCATTTGAATGAAAGCCAACCAGACTAATTTAGCTGTGTTTATAAATGTGTCTTTCTGGCATTATCAGAACATAGCTTTAGTTTGTCTGGCATTGGACCCTTTCTAAGCACATATAGCCTGTGAACAGATGACCACTAAAAAGGAAGTGCTATTGTGGGAGATAGATTATCTGTAGTTATTCCCAGTGTTCAAGAGACCTGAGTCTCTATGGTGATGGTTTCTTCTTTTACACATCACACAGTTGTAAAAGGGGGGTGGGGGGGAATGCCAGTCTTAACTAAGACAAGAGTTGACAAAATGTTTCCTTCACAGGAAGCCACTAGCCACATACTCAGAGAGGTGGTGGGAGTAGACATGTCTATACTCAGTAAATTTGCTCTTGTGTTCTCACCTTCTTGTTTGCTGGCTTTGGACTCAGGTACAATATTATAATTCTTGCAAGTTGGTCCCTGAGAAAATTGGAGTTACAGAATGTAACAGCTCAAGTTATAAAGCATTGTCAATACTAATTTGTTGCATTCTCCACTAATCAATATTGGAGGCAGAAGCAAGTGATTACTTTTAAATTTTAAGAAGCAGATCCTGCCCGGCGCGGTGGCTCACGCCTGTAATCCTAGCTCTCTGGGAGGCCGAGGTGGGCGGATCGTTTGAGCTCAGGAGTTCGAAACCAACCTGAGCAAGAGCGAGACCCCATTTCTACTATAAATAGAAATAAATTAATTGGCTAACTAATATATATAGAAAAAATTAGCCAGGCATGGTGGTGCATACCTGTAGTCCCAGCTACTCGGGAGGCTGAGGCAGGAGGATCGCTTGAGCCCAGGAGTTTGAGGTTGCTGTGAGCTAGGCTGACGCCATGGCACTCACTCTAGCCTGGGCAACAAAGTGAGACTTTGTCTCAAAAAAAAAAAAAAAGAAGCAGATCCTGACTACAGCATTATACGATTCATTCATGTAACAAGAACACTTATACCCCCAATATTTTGAAGTAAAAATTATTTTTTAAAAAAGAAAAAGAGGCAGAAACAATGGGAGTAAAAGAACCTTGTTACTTCAGGATAATATCATAATTGATGTCAAAGTGCTACTGAATTTAAATGGTAACGTTTTAAGTCTCTCCACACCCTGCCCAAAATATGTGGGCCTGTGTTTTTAAAAATGGATTCATTCAACCTTTATCTAGGACTCAAATAAAACTTCCCCCACCCCTTGAATCTTAGAAAAATCTAATTAAAATTCATTTTCCTTGTTATTTTTCAGGCTACTAAAATTGCTGCCATTGGATGTGTGTTTGGGGGGAAGGGGTTACAAGTATTTGAAATGTCCTAAGGTATTACAGGCTTATTAACAAGTAGGAGACAGCAAGTAGCTGAGAGATCCCTGACTTGTGCCACCTTAAATAATAGAGAACCTGGTCCCTATCACTCCTCCGTCCTCTGTTCCCTCTTACCTGCTCTTCTTTTCCTTTACTCACAGTACTTATCCTCTGGAGTACTATTATTTAACTTTGTCTGGTCATTGCTTGTTGTCTCTTTCTCCATGTATTCCAAGTGCCTAACACTGTGCCTGCCACACAAGGAGGCACTCTCGATCAATATTTGATGAACTCACTTTAATCAACTCACGTCCCTGAAAAGTACAGTTTTCTGATGAGGCGGAGTCCTTCGGTCCAGTGGTCATCTAGGACCCAGCTCTTCATGTCTACTGTGTTTTTCTTGGTGTCGACTCTATGCCAAGTCAGGCTCTTCTTATGGTTCCCACATGGCTCTTGCTCCTTGGCTTCTTATTCAAATACAGCAGGAGGGACAGAGAGTTTATCTTGCATTCCAAGCCGAACCCCTGAGACTCACTCTGAACAAACAGGTTCAGGTCACAATCACTGTGGCCATAGGGATAGAATGTGCTGAGGGGTTAGCCTGGGCCACTGCGTTGCCACTAAGACTGAATTAGCCTTTGAGGCGCCATGTGGATCCCCAGACAGAAACTGAGGGGCTGCAGGAAAGGGGGAAGCGGAGAACAATGTCCACTCTGCTCAACAGGCAAGGACAGGTTAGTTGATGAGGGTTTACCACTACAAGCAAACAGAATTCGGGAAATTCCCCCTCCACTCTACCTAGTTTATGTGACAACAGCTGAGGTTAGACTCCATTTAGGTGGTTAGGCTGAGTTTTAGTAACCATTTAGGTGGTTATTCTCAGTTTTTGGATGAATTTGAGATTTCCTGAGAGTTGGAGGAGTCCTCTAAGAGGATTCAGAAGAGCAAGCAAACAGAATGCTGACCTTAAGAATAAAGATATTGTCGTCTCTTTGCTTTTTCTGTTGACAAAACTTATCGGAGTTAGCTTACTTAGCGCACCAGACACTGACACTTTTTCATCTCCAGGGACTTATTGTCCAAGTTAACTCCAAGTAACTGGCTCCTTATCCCTATATTATCAACTCAGTATTCACCCCTGAGTGGACTATTGTTGAATTTGGCCATCTGCAATTCTATTAATGAGAAGACGGGTTGCTACAAGTAAGTACTGGAGGCAGTGCAGTTTCCTAAGTCAGTGGGTCCCAACCTTTTTGGCACCAGGGACAGGATTCATGGAACAAATAGTTTTTCCATGGACGAGGGGCATGAGGAGGGATGGTTTAGGGATGATTCAAGTGCATTACATTTATTGTGTGCTTTAGTTCTATTATTACATTGTAATATATAGTGAAATAATTATACAATTCACTGTAATGGAGAATCTAATGCCCCTGCTGCTGTAACAGGAGGTGGAGCTCAGACGGTGATGCAAGCCATGGGGAGCAGCTGTAAATACAGATGAAGCTTCACTTGCTCGTCCACTATTCACCTTCTGCTGTGCAGCCCGGTTCCTAACAGACCATGGACCAGTACCGGTCTGTGGCCCAAGGGGTTGGGGACCACAGTCCTAAGTTATATACCAAGTTAGCACGAGTGTCAGGAAGTGTAATTCAGTTTTCAGGATCTTAGTTTCCTTTCTTATTCACAGTATGGGGGTGCACCCTTATTTTCTCAGATTATGAAAATAACATAAGTGATAATTATTGTCATTACTACAGCTGGCTCCTCAGAACACTCTTGTTCCTTTGGAGCAGTATTTGTCAACCATGTCATACTCTGAGAATGAAATAGGACCACTTACCCACGCATGATCTAGTCCCTGCTGGCTTTGCCAACTCCGTCTCCCCTTTTCACCTTCTACTTCAGTCACACTGGTCTTTAAGTTGCCAGAATAATCCAAAATTTTTCCTTCCTCAGGGTCTGAGACAACCTGGGCTTGGATTCCACCTTTGTCACTGAACTAGCTGTGTGACAAGGGCACATTACCAAACCTTTCTGTGCCTTATCTCATGCCTCTGTTAGGTGGAGTTAACAATAGTTCCTCCTTCACAGGATTGTGTTAGGATTAAAGATTATAATAGATGTAAAGTTCTTAGAATGTTACTGGGTTCATAATAATTTTTCAGAATATTAGCTCCTCCACCTCTTCTATACCCCATCCCATCACTTTCCTCTAAAATTTCTTCCCCTCCCTTTCTCCAAATCTGGATTTTTAATATGAATTAGTTGTTATTTAAACTATCACCACTTCAGAGGCCTTTGCTGACCATCCAATCTATAGTAGCTCCTTTGTTATTTTCTGTCACACCTCTCTATTTCCTTCAGAGCACTTATCTCAATTTGTAGTTATATATTTATTTGCTTTGACTTTCTTTTTCATTAACTTTCTCCATGATTAGACTGAAAAACTCCATGCTAGTAGGGTCCTTGGAAGTTTCACTGGTCATTGTACATACTGCACATGTCTACACTGAGCAGGCAGTCAATGAATATTTAGGAGTGAAAGCTCGAGTCCTCTGAGCAGTCAGTGTGCTACACAGGGAACCTGAAATCCTGAGTTACTAATAGTTGTGTAATGTGCCAGAGCAGAAGCCACATTGCTGAGAATCGGTGCCCTGGCTGGGGCTGGCATGTGAGGGGGAAGGAAGAAGTCCTCCTACTTAAAAAGAATGTCATATAACTTGGACATTTGTGGCTTTCCCAGGCCTCAGCTGCTGGAGTATGGGGAAGTGCCATGCAGGAGAGGCTGATGGCCAGCTCATGGCCAGGAGAAACAGGGACCAGCTTGGAGAAAGGATGTTATTCAGCAGTACCCAGAAGACACCTTCTAGGGAATTCCAGAAATATTTGAAAGGCACCTTACCAGGGGTTGAAGGTCCACCATCCTCAGGCTGTGAAAAAAAAACAGGGAAATTTGAGTTAAGGTTGTTCCTGTTATCTGTACAGTGTGGTAAGGCCAGGGGAAACTTGAATTACAGCATTAATACTATCATCCTTGTGCACAGAGTTCAGAGAGAGAAATACTCTAGTGAAGGTCCGTCCCAGGTGCCAGTGGAATGTGACGGAAAGGGAAGAAGGAGCACAGTTACCAGCACTCCTGTGTCATTACCTGTGTGGCCTCCACAGTGGCCTTTGACTTTAGCAGGCTGCAGGAAGCGTCGTGGAGAAGTGAATCACTTTCTATCTTACTGAACCTTTACAGAAATCATAATTCTAGTACTAGCCAAGAGTAGAGGATGTCAAATATGTTTATATTATATCATCTGGACGCCTGGGAAAAGGGCCCTCTGGGAAGCATATTTATAATACTCTAGGAAATTGTTCGCACCAGCACTTTTAATGGAGAGGGCATTAACCCAAGAGTCAGGAAGTTATACCTGTGTCCCTTTTATCCTTTAATAGTTTCATTTTAAAAACTAATAACAGGAATGTATAAAATCAAATGTAAATGATCCTCCCTCACTGCCTTGCCAATCGTATTTCTTAGAGGTTGCCACTGTTAAAACAGGCCCACAGGCATTCTTCCCTGTTTCCATGCACACACACATATACATACCCCCACCCTCCACCTCCGCATCCATGACAATTACTCTAAAGGGACCACATTGTGAGCACCTTTTTCTGATATAGAGATTGACTTATCTCCTTCCTACATCTGCAGCATCTCCCTATTTGGACATTGAGCTTTATATGAGCCTCTTTTTGTTGACAGGCATCTTCATATAGGAAAACTGTTTCTGATATTTCTTGACTACAAACAGTGCTTTAATGAGTGTCCTTGTACATATATATCTTTGTACACACTTCAGGGTTTATCTGTAGACTAAATTCCTCGATGTGTAATTGTTGGGTCCAAGTCATGTGCATTGAAAATTTCGAGGGCCCTGCTCTGATTGCACTCCTGCCCTGGAGTGTTGATTTTGGGCATCCTAACCGCTTTGAACCGAGTTTGGACCAGGTGATCTTTAATGTCCTTTTTAGCTTTAACAAGTTTTAAGTCTAATTCTCTCAGGCTCCTGTAGGTGATGGCTGCTTGAGGATGATTTTTATATTGGGTTCTGGAAATCATTCTCTACTTACAAGCAAGCCAAAGAGAGGAGAATGATTTAAAGCAAATGAGCAGATGCAGCTGAAAATGAACATGCATTTTCCATAAGTGTCAAGAGAGGACAGGATTGAGCCAGGCTAGACTAAATACACTTTATAGAGCCAAAAGTGGTGTTTTACCAGAAGCAGTCAACATAGATGTTTGATCTAAAAGAGCATCTTGATATTTAGAGATTAGTGTTGTCTGTACTGAATGGAGGGCACTGTACCAGGGCTGGCACTAACCCAACCCATAATCTTTAAGCCATAGTCCCTGTGACTGTATCATTAACTGGTTTCATAAGAGAACATGGCTAGACCTGCCCAATCCTTGGCTGGGGATCCTTTCAGGAAAATCCAGGGTGCTGCTGAAGTTTTGTAGGTGACTCAGGTAGTGGAATTCTTCCTTTGAGTCAGGACAGAATTTTAGCTTTTGCTTGGTTGGGAGTTTAGTCACTGGAGCTGGTTCTCTAAAGTCATATGTAAGTACCTAGGCGCAAAAATTTTTTACAGAATATGTTATGTTAAAAAGGTGATCTCATTTTAATTGAAAGATTTACAAGCTTTTCCCTTATGATTTCACTTCAAGTTTTGTTGACACTGTTATTATTCACTTCCTTTCTAGGGATAATAGGTTCAGCCTTAGAGAATGACCACCATGTTTCCCTCTGTAATTCAGAAGTAACTAAGATGTCCAAGCCCTATGACAGGATCTTCCTAAATGAAAACCAGCAATTCATTCTAAGTAATTGGTAAAGCTTCTTCTTAATAAAAATTTAGAACTTTCCAATTTAATGCAATGGTACTAGATATATACTCTACATTACTGAGATTTCCAGACTTTTATGAAATGAACATTTGAGGAGTACCCATACATCACTAGGCCTTATGAGAAGGAATACAAAAAATTTGAAATCTTTTATTTAAACAAGATATGTAAACATACTTACAAATGTAATAGATCTCAATTTCTCCAAAACAGAATACCAAGAATAATTTCATTGAATGCTGTAAAGATACTACACTGACCTGCATACATCCTTTCTATTTGGGACTTACGGTGCTGATCTGATCTAAAATGTTAGTGGCTACATTTATTTCTCCAACACAAATCTATAATATCAACAATCTAGAAAGGTTGTCATAAAGAAGTAATTAGACATACACATGATATTAAGGAGCTAATAGATGTCTATGTCCTGTCTAGAATCCCCAAATGATCCAGAAATTATTATATTGAATTTAAATTGTTATTTCTGTTTTCAACCAACTTTTTACCCAAATGCAGATGACTTTATTACCACATTAAATACAAGTGTGTTAAGTGTGTTAAGGCTGCCTATGTGATATCTCTTTGGTTCTGTGGCCCAGACAGCAAATTATACCCCAATAACTAGCTTTCCTCCTTTCCTCATGATGAGCATAGTCCATTAATGCATTCCTGGGCTAGTGCCTTGTGCAGAAAAAGACTGCATTTCTTAACCTCTTTTGCAGCTAGGTGTGTCCAAGTGGTGAACTTCTGACTAATAGGATATAAGGGGAAGTGCCATGTGGGTGGCAGCTTCTGGGAACTTTCCTTAACAGACTAATGGCATGTACCCTAAGCCCCTTGGCCTTCCCCTTTCATCTCCCTCACTATTTGCAATGTAGGTCTAATGGTCAGAGCTCTCGTTGGGACCACAGCTTTGAGATAGCAGGAGAAATAGCTGGAAGAATCCAGGGTCCCTGACAACTTTGGGGAGCAGAGCTGTCACACCAGATCCAGGTTCCTAATTCCAGAATTTTATATAAGAAAAAACAGACATCTATTATTTTAAAGCCATTGCTAATTTCTAGCCTAGTCTGTTACTTATTGCTTGTTCCTTTGATGGCCATTAGCCTGGTTTTCCTTGACAAAAACACCTGATGCATATTGTTCTAAAATCAATATCAGATTATACAGTCTGATGCATGGTCTGGCAAATGGACAAGAATGTTTCCAATTGAGATTATGTTGAGAAAATCCAACCTGGAAGCTTGCTACCTGTTTTTATTACACATACATCAACAGTTGAGATAGTCATGTCTGGGGTAGGTTGGGTATAGGTAATTTAACCATTAGTGATACTGAAATGAGTAGAATGCTGATGGAGCATTCAAATCACTATGTTAGGGTTAGTGACCCTCCTAAGTTAAATCTCAAAAGGCTTCAGCTGACCAGTTCCTGCCCCCTGCCCACCCCACAACTGTACTTCCTGTTAGGATCTGTCAATGAGAACATACTTTCTCACCCTTCTACCTTACCTCTAATTTACCTGTTTTTCTCCTCCAAATCATTTTCATGCCAATAAGGAAAAAATAAAAAATGAGGTAATATCCTGGCACTGCTAATAAGCCATATCTCTGGATAAATTAGAGGTGATGACAATGTAACTGGATTGCTTGTGCCACTGATCTAGTTGGGGGAAAAGTGTATTTCTGATTTATTTACATTTACAGAGTGCATCACAATAATACTTTGTTGGCTTTCTTCAAAAGTATCAAATAAGATAGGTTATATTTCTACTTCTTTAATATGAGAAGGACTTTAAACTCTCAAGTAGCTAAATAATATGTAAGCTATTTGCAGGAGGCAGGAGCTGTCTCCAATCTCCTCTAACTTTCTAGAGGTGGCTTATTCTTAACCACTTCGGTACCAGCATTGACTATAGTCGATAGCTACAGATGAACGTGCACGTTGACTTCAGCCGACAGCTGTGATATGAAGGTGCACAGCTGAGCATCGACTTTAGTGTTAATAACAAAACTTGACTTTTCTAATTTTTCATTTATCAAAATAAAATTGTGAACATTTAAAGATAACATAATAAAAACATATATGTATATGTTGCCTATTCTGATTTACATTACAAGTAAAGCTGCCTGTAAAGTAAAACAAGCTTTCAGTGCTTTAAAGCTTTCCTCATCACACAAGAGCAAAACGGATTCGTCATCAATGCACAGCCCAAGCTATCATTAGGACTATGAGTGCCGGGTGCCCATGGGCAAGGTTTCTCGGCTGGTGAGTGCCGTACCTAAGTGGTTAAGCCCCAAACTTGCTTGTGGTTTTGTTCCAATGACTTTCCCAATCCAGGAAGTTTCCTTATTTGTATCTCAAACCCACCCTATCTACCCTCATAGCCCCTTTCCTGTGATTT